TGTTATCCTAACAAAATGTGTACAAATTCAAATCTGACAGCATTAACATCTGAATAATGTTATTCAATATGACTAGATTTCAAATAATGGCTTTAAAATGTTTTTTTTTCTTTTTGATCGCGTCTTTGAGAGAGTGTAGAGTTATATATCATAGTTTAGATCCTTTATTACAATCTAACAGTAGTAATTTGCAACTCGATCACTCAGGCTAATTTCTTTGGAGGTTGCATTTTTTTTATGTCTTATTTATTTTGATAATCAAAATATTATATTGTTTCCAATATTTTCGGTCTCACGCTGAATTTATTCCGAAACTGCAGGCTCAATTTATATCAGGTCCAAGGACACAATTATCGGTTTTTGATTTTCGTTGACTACAAATATACTCCATAGTGGGGACAGTGTGTAACTGCATGAAATATTAAGTAAGGGGATGAAAATACATGTTAAAAAAATTTGGGTGATGAATTTTTATGTAAAGTAGTGATTTGGTCCAGTTGGAATAGGTCAAAAATGAGTATGTCTGAAGCTGTCAAACTGAATAACAGACCCCCTTAACATAGAGTTGTCCAATTTTCATTTAGAGCCTATAGACTTTTCTATAATTTTGATATAATTTGTCTTAAAGGTAGTACACAACACTGTAAAAATCTGTTTGAGATGGAGCAGATGCGATTTTTTTTTAATTTGAAATTATTGTCTAAAAGAAATGCACTAAGGAATATCTGTGTTCTCGGGCCTTCAGGCATCCCTTTTTGACTCAATTTATCTTTCACTACCAAAGGAAACATTAGTTCTTTCTTTTCCAACCACTGCATGTTCTAATGAATCGTAAAGCGTAATAAAAGCGATTCCGTAGGATTTCTTTTGTGAACAGAAATGGAATACACAAAATAATTTGATGGGCTGGTTTAAGGTTTAAATGTTTCTGAACATATAATGCGACTGATCCAATGGAAAACTATTAAGTTTGCATGAAACCCATGCTGTGCAAGCTTCCTCAACAAATTGCAGAATGAGGAAGTGTTCATCAATTTGTAGTGCTATAAAAAAGGCGGAAATGGTTTAACTTAAATTAATAGGAATTAATACAAACGGACACGATAATTATTGAATAAAGTTACACAATCATGTATTAGAAAAAGGTAGTGTCATGTCTATTTTCTACCGGTTTCTTTATTAAAATGAAATAATAAATTTGAAATCGGTAAACTTCTTTTTTTTTATTCAACTTTCCATAGGTTTAAAAACTGCAGTGTGTCATATGTTTGTTTGATACCAGAGGGGAGCTATGACATAATTAAAGCTGCTGAATGTTAAGGACAATTGACTGCTCTACTTGTGTGTCAGTTGTAAAGATCATACAATATATAATCACAATTCAGAATCTAATGCAATCTGGATAATATAATAGATTCAAAAGCGTACACCAAAATTTGGTGATGGTTAAAAACCTCCTGAACAATGAAATAAAACCACTGAAGTGACGTTATTAGATATAAGAAGATGTGGTATGAGTGCCAATGAGACAACTCTCCATCCAAGGCAAAAATTATAAAAGTAAACCATTATAGGTCACAGTACGGTCTTCAACACGGAGCCTTGGCTCACACCGAACAGCAAGCTATAAAGGGCCCCAAAAATTACAAGTGTAAAACCATTCAAACGGGAAAACCAACGGTCTAATCTATATAAAAAACAAGAAACGAGAAACACTTATTAACCACATCAACAAACGACAACTACTGAACATCAGATTCCTGACTTAGGACAGGTGCAAACAAATGCAGCGGGTTTAAACGTTTTAATGGTACCAAACCTTCACCCTTTTTCTGAAACAATAGTGTAACATCACAACATAGAAAGACACACTATAAAATATCAACTGAAATAGCTTAACTCAATCAAAGGACATATTAACACCAGTGAACATACACTGAACAAATAAATTTGACCTATGATACAATGTAAATACAAAATAAATAAACTAAGGGAAGAATAATGAAAGTAACATGTTATACCGCTATGAAATGTTAAACAATTTAAGAAAAACAATAAGCTCGAACAAAAATATCAGCCATTTGCAATTACTTTAAACATAGGTAAATGAAAATAATTTTGTTGTTAGGTATACGTGTACAGTTCAAATAGAGATTGGAAATATTTTTACAAAATAAATAATTTTGATGTTCATAGTACGAAGTGAAAATTTATAGTAATACCAAACACTTATCAAAGCTGGTATATAGACCAGATATAACCCTGAATAACATTAAATAACAAAAAAGCATTAAAATTAGTATCAACAGGTCAAATAAACAAAAAAGTACGATTTGAGAGTACTCGCAGTTACTGACAGCTAGTTAAAAGCCAAAAACAACTAATAATAAAAAATCATGCATCAGAGACTAAAATCAACTAAAACACATCCCAGGGATTTAGTATTTTAACGTCATGGACAGTCAAAGAAGACATGACTTGTGCAATGCCAAAAATAAATGTATCGACAGGCAGTAGGATAGTTAGGAGTTTAACCTCTTTATAGATCAAAATGAACGTGGGTTTGTCTTTATACATCCCGTTTGAAAAGAATACAAATTTAGTTATGTTTTAATTTGCTGATGACAAAATCGATATTAGTGCCAATGTAAACTATATTCAAAGATCTAATTACAACATTGGTAAGATAACCTTCACTAATAAGTTTGTATAAAGGTTTGTTGAGTTTACACGGATCACATAGTGATTTCCGCGCTTTAAGTACAATATTACCGTAAAATTTAGGCTGTGAAATTCCGTTTTTAATCAGTTTTCTACAGGTACAGCCAAATTTACTAATCAAATCTTTGTATCTATGAAAGAATTTAGTAAAAGATTTACGTAATTTATGGTAACGAAATCCCTGACTTAATAATTTTCCAGTGATGCATTGATTACGTTCGTTAAAATCTATAACATCACTACACACACAGGCATAAGAACGAGTTGGGATATATAAACACCGTATGACGGAGCCAAAGGAACATCGCCGTCTAAAAAAAGAAAATTGACAATAATGAATGAAAAGTCGTCTCTTTTGTCGTAAATTTTCGTATGGAGTTTTCCTTTAGAGATTGAAATGTTCAAATCTAGAAAAGGACAACTACTGCTGTTTATGTTAGATTTAGTTAAAGTAAGTTCTATTGGGTAAATTTCGGTAGTATATGTAGAGAACTCTGGATTATTTAACGAAATAATATCATCTAGATAACGGAAGGTATTGTTGAATGTATCGACCAAATGTAACAATGACGTGTCTTTACTGAGTTTGGTCATAAACTGAGATTCATAGCAATACAGGAATAAATCTGCTATTAAAGGGGCGCCGTTAGTGCCCATAGGAATACCTACTACTTGTCGATACACTTTATCGCCGAAACGTACATATATGTTGTCCAGGAGAAAATTTAAAGCTTCAATCATATCTTCACATTTCCAGTAAGTGTATCTTGTATACTTTCCTTTTTCGTTACAGAAAAAGGCTTTAAACGAGTTACAGCAAATAAATTTGTAATGAGATTTTTTCAAAAGACCATTTAATTAAATATGAAAACTTTTTCTTGATAAGATTGTGTGGAAGTGTAGTATAGAGAGTAGAAAAATCATAACAGTTAACAGAATTAGAAGGACCATCAAAAGCATGTATTTTATCTAAAGAATTTTTAACACTCCAAACATAATTAATACCATTATTTTCATAAGCTTTATTACAAAAGTTAATAACAAGTTCTTTGATAGTAGTAAGGGAGGTAGTTAGAAGCACTGATAGATTGGTAGTAGAACACTTACTAGATGCGGAGATGAAATGGAATTTAAATGGTTTTTTGTGCAATTGAGGTAACCAGTACATAGTAGGGACTTTCAAATGTTCGGAAGAGGCTTTAAGCTGGGTAGTGGCAGTGATATGCTTGTTAACAATTTGACTCTCTGTGGAGCGTACGGACCTGAATGTAGATGAATTTGAAATTTCGTTTTGGAGAACTTCCGTGTAGTATATGCGTCACACCACCACAACATTATTTGCTGCTTTGTCTGCCGGTACGAACACAAACCCCTTTGCGAGTAATTGGAGTTTATTTTTTTATTCTAGAAATGGGAATATCATGGACCCTATTACTAATTTCAGAATTGTTTTCAAAATGAGATATACGAATATTAACAGTATCCATAATTTTATTCAAAAAACTGTCTAGAGATTTTTTATCAGATTTTTCACGTTTACACCATTTTTTACAGTATACAGACAGAGCGTCATTAATGACCTGACGACACTGTTTCCAATCTATTTTAGATGGAGGTCGATATTTCGGTCCTTTCTTAAGAAAAGTTATGACCTCACGGTCTTCGACGATGTTGAGGTCTCCTGTAAGGACATGACCATAGGGAACATATCTAAAACTAGATGTTTCACAATCTCAAGTGGAAGGGACATTATTTTCTATATTGACGTCTGATGTAACTGACGTATAATTAAAAATCAAACTTTGCTGGGTTTTTTTATTATAAGAATACGAAATAATAGGTGGTTCTATATTATCAAAATATGGAGGTATTTGGCTTTGGATGGTCATTTTGGGGTACGAGAATTGAAATTACCCATATACAATAAGGAGTTGTGGTATGATTGCCAATGAGACACATGATAAAATGATAAAAAGACAAACAATAGTCTAAAAAACAATACATAGAATACTAAAACCGGGGTGATCTAGGATGCATGCTCTTAAATGGTAGACAGATTTAGGGTGCAATAATATATTAACATAGATGTCCATAAGTATATTGAGGAACTACATTTCATTAAGAATTTCTACTATTATTGGGATTTGTAGGATTTTAATTACAAAATGACGACAGATGCACTGAAAAGGTATAAAACGCATATTACCTGACAGAGCGTTAAAAGTGTATAATGATATCAGAAGTATTCATTGTGTGTTTTTTGGTTTACATTTTCAGTATATTTAAAGGACCGATGCAGCATTGTGTCTCAAATTAGCAGGTCGTATCCAGGAGTTTAACTGTGTGCATATATGAAACGTATTTGGATTTACACAAAAAAACACCAATTACATGTTTTGTGGGGTTTTACTGAAAAGATGCAATATGCTACCTAAACTAAGGTAAGTTAATATCAAACGATTTTATATAAGGAATTTATGTGTACATTCATTTTCATGCACCTCAAAAGAATAAATTTAAACTCATTTTATTATTGTGACCACTGATTTCATTGATTGATGTACTATTTTCGTAGAGTAAGTTTTTCTTAAGACATAATGAAAGTCTACCGTCAGTCCGTCTCAACACTCAATTGCATTTACAACATGTTTTTTTAATTTAACTCTAAAACATTCTGTTGGTTCAACTATTATTGAGACATGTTAGGCTTAAAAAGACATTAAATATTTTATGCTTTTTTACTATTTTTACTATTTTGCACGGCAGGCGCGTTTTCTACACTCAAGACTCATTAGTTGCGCTTAAATCAGAATGGTTGGAAAATCATTCGACAAGGAAATAGTAGAGGATTTAAAAATAAGAAATTCCAAAAATGTGTGTCAAATCTGGCTTAGGCCTTCTATACCTAGATTTAAAAAAGCCTTGACATTTCGAATAATTTTAGAGTCTAATGAATAGTTAATTAAAAAAAAAAGAATGATGTACCAAATATATTTTACGTTAGCACAGGAGGTACAACCATTGGGCTCGAAACGGCAACCAGCAGTGGCATTTACCGGTAGTTTGTAAAAACTCGTCCAAGTTACAAAGCTTATTATTGTGTATGCTAGTCGGGCATTTCGTATTACTGTTGCTTGAATCAAAACAGTTGAATGACCATAGCAGTTAGGAAGTTGAAGACCATTGAAAAGCAAAATAATCAAAAAGCGGTGCCAAATTTTGCTTAAGTCATTTTTGTCTCGAGGTAGAAAAACCTAAATATTTCGAATTATTTAAAGTTTAACCTTAAATTAACAGAAGAATATGACATACTAATGATATTTTAGGTCATCACTGTTAAATTCTTACTCAATATTTGCAGTAAAATATTTACTAAGATGTGGGTAACTTCACAGGGAAAACAACTTTTAGTTTGTCCCAATATCTTCTAGTTAGTGTAAAATTTGTATCAACATATTTCTTTAACGTAACAAAAGTCATTTAAACCCGATAAAAAATTCAAACAACAATGGAAAATGTGTTTGACGTAAACCAAAAGTATTATATTACAAATCTATCTTATTTATGATATTTCATCTATTCATTCGACATACTTGTTTTTTTTCTGCCCCATGTGTCGATTGACACGGTCAGCTAAGACACAGCGTTTCGGGATCTTTGGTGTTCAGAAGATACAATTGTTAGTAATTTAGAAGTTTTGTCATACTTAAAAGAACCATTGAATGCAATAATTTGTGCTAGTTCCAAGGGAAAGTGATTTTTCGAACCTTCAATATCGTTTTAATCAGAATCTATATGATTTTTTTTAAAAGAAAAGCACAAACGGGGTATAATTGATGATTGCTAATCGTCGCGTAAGCATACGCAACGAATCCGGCATATGCACTTGTTGCTCTTTGAGTTCTAAACCAATGCTAGGAGATCAGCTGAAAATATCAAAAGGACATTCAAAACTCATAAGTAGAGATAAAACTGACAGTGGCATTGCAAAAAAACGACGAACGACGAATAACTAACACATTTACAAAACACTTCATAGATACCAAAGACTGCGCAACACGGAAACCACAAAATATGGGGATGATCTCAAGTGCGCAGGAAGACTAAGCAGAACCGACTCCAATGGAGCCATCTTTAGTTGCATTTCAGTTGGTAATGTCCCTATCAAGGAAAGAAACACCATGTTATAAGTTATATGGTATGCTACTGACCCCTACGGATCCATTGAGGGTTAGTAAAATCCATAGGGGTGAGGCCGCAGGGTGAGTCCCCTATGGATTTTACTAACCCTCTATGGATCCGTAGGGGGGTCAGTAGCGAACCGTATAACGAATTTATCGCACAGAGAGCGTTTTCTGCCAAGTTTAGTATAAAATATCAAAATTTAACAATGAAAAATAATAACAATAACAATGACAATAGATTAACACAACTACTAACTAGTATTTAGAGCATTTTCTTTTTTGAAAATACAATTCGGAATGAATGTCATTTGTTCAATGTTAGATTTTGAATGATTGTCACTTTACATTTGTGAAATAATTGTGGACCGGCAGCTTGTCTTGTGTTGCTAACAGTAATGAATGATTCATTATAATCAAAGTCCCCTAATATAGCGTTCAAATCCTATCCTTCGAAATCGGAATGCAAACTCTGCAGAGTGTCTGCTTCAATAAGAACAGGTGCCATAAATCCATTTTCAGTAAGTGCTGGTCTTACAGGAGGTGCTGGTAAAGCCTCCTGGCACAGCTCCCATAGTTACTCCCAGAGTTTGTCCCGTTCGTTACTTTTCTTGCGTGTCTACCCGTTGATAAACGGATAGAGATTGTACGGATTTGTGACCGGTAACAGACATTATCTGAGCATCATTAAACTGATTTTTTGACAAAATTGAAGCTCCCGTTGCTCTTATGGAATGATTTCTGGCTCAGTTTACATGACAAACTCAAGTCACTCATAAATGTTTTCAGCTTTTTCTCCCCAACAGGTGCGTTGTAATACCATATTTCGTTGTCGTCATCAACAAAACAGTCCCTTGGACGCTGCCACAATCTGAAATTTTTTTAAATGAAGAAAAAATGAAGAATTAACTTTAAAAAAATCTGGCTTTTCTCGACATTTAGAACAATTATGACACATACCATCTTTAATATACTTTTGGTGGATTTTTTTAGCTGTGTTTTTTTTTTATTATTTACCCATGATTTTTCATGTTTTTCTGTATTTAAGATTGTTTGACGATTGTAGCTTTTATTTATTGTTAAATTTACTTACCTATCACAATCAGGGTGCAGCTTGTCTGTATACTTTATAAAGGATTCCACTGGACAATACATTGAGCCTGGAATACAAAATTCTATATGATATAGTTATATTAAAAAAAAAAACATTTTAAAGTATACAAATATTTAGAAAATGTTGACATTTCTTTTTTTTTGTGCTGCAGTCATTGTTGATTGAAAAGTAAAAATACAAACCATTCCATGCTTTTGCACTTCACGAAACGTCAAATAAGATATTATATGGTCTGTGGATAATCAGGTAACATTTTCATTTTGTGTTTGTTTTGGGGGTGGGACTCTTTAACTTTAAATTACCCAATATTTTGGGGTTGTTTTTTTATTTTTTTTGGGGTGGAGGGGGTGTAATTAATGATATAATACTAACCTAGCCTGATGATTATCAAATATATAAACTAATGTACCTGTAGCTTCTGGCATGACTCCACTTGTTGTCTCCTTATCATTTCCTCTATGGTTTTTGGTTTATTCATCTAAAATGTTTTCGATGTATCTCATTCCTGTATTTGGGTCTGTTTTCAAAGCAAAGGTTGACTTGGTCATTGTATGCATATTTTCTGCACCTCGTCGGCAAAAATACAGTCTTATATCAAACTGGAGTTTGTTAAATATTCCTTTGGGGGTTTGTGTAGAAAAGTAAACTGACTTGTACAGCTTCTCCCTGTCAGATTCCTGGATAATTGGATAGTGTTCAACGTTTCCTTTTCCAGCTTGTTTCAGTTCGGCCCTTGCAGCGTCAAAGCTCATGTTTGCATATCGAAATGCTGCATCTTTAATAATGTCAAAGTCCTTATTGTTTGGAGGTGCTTTAAGGTGGCGATTCAAGCCATGTCGAATCGATTCCAATGAAGAGGTTTTATACATAAAACCATCTGTTTTTCTAGCATCAAGGTAGAAATGAGATAACGCTTCACCCAAACGTTGTATTGTAAAGCTTTCAAAGTCAGCTTCATGATGTTTACTAGTAAGATATTCCCTGAACAATTTTGCAGATAAGGTGTTACTTTTTGTGTCTTTTCGGAGTGAATGTTCCGTCTTTTATCGTTAATGTCCTGACGTGTTGACGTCCCGAATCTCTCCATTTTGTTGCAGACGAAAATATGACGTCACATGTTGTTTGAAACGGGAGATAACTTTAGTTAAAGTACTGATTTTGTATACTGATCAACGGGGGACAACTCCCAAATAATTACTTGAATCGATAAGGTATTGCGTTTAAAATACCGTTCTGAAAATTCCAAGCGGCACATCAGTCATCTCCTATCGCCGCCATGACAACCCCTATGAAATCTACAGACCCCCTACGGGCCCATAGGGGGTCACCACGTGACGGCGTTAAACCAATCACAATGTGACTATTTTCTCGAGGTGCGATAATGAAGTTTCGACAATTGACCAATGTTTGTGTTCATTTGTGACACAGATATTCCATAACGGTCAACTCACTTAGCGTCTGTATCATGTGTATTACTGGCTAGTGATAAGGTATCTTCATATAAAGTAGGACAAAGTATTCTATATACTCTTTCATTTACATTTTTTATTTGTTTTCTTGAATACTTATCATAGACTTTTGCATGCAATCATTGATAGAAAGTGAAGTAAATGGAGAAAATCAAAGTCTTATTTACACATTCTACTACTGCACCGAGAATAATACGATATCTCTCCACTCGAGACGGTTAAATTTTAAAATTAAAAACTCGAGGCTGGCCGATGTATAAGTCATACTTTTTAGTGGAAGAATATGTTTTTCTTATGAATTTTTGACGATATGCAGACAAACTGAAACATGCTTTTCCAATGATCTACAAAAAAGATGTGCTCTTTTTATATAACGTCATCAGACAGGGTTGCCTTTTTCGTGACGTCACAATAGAAAATTCAGATAAAAGCAAGACCATTTTACGTCAACATTGCATTTTGACAAATGAGGAACTTAGATCAAACAAACCACACGTTATTCAAATAAAAATAATCATCAGAGAATGAAAAGGATAAATCAGTTGAGAATTTGGAGAAAATGTTCAATCATGCGGTTGATAATGCTCAGGTTTTTAACAAATATCTTCTTATGCCTCTCTAGTGCATGTCCTACTATTTTTACTGTCTGTGTTTATACAGCGATATTGTTGTAAAAATCATGACAGCAGGTGTGATATTTCATCGCACAAAACAATCTGCAGTTAGTTGACATTCCCTCGCAAAAATGCCACGATTTCTGGCAAAGAACCAGTACTAGGGACCGTCTGACAGTAGATTGAGCAGTGTTGCTCCAAAGAAAAGACGTTGCTATGACCTGTTGTTGTACCATGTGGTAATGTTGAAAATTTATATGTTATATACGCTCAACAAATATCAAAGTCTTAACAGACAACATTCTATTGATGAGAAGACTAAGCATACTCCGTAACCCCACCCTCTCAAAATCTTTTAATGACTAACGGCAGTCGAAAACGGGCGACAGAATAGTCATGAAACCACATAAAACGTCACCAGTGTCTGAGCCGAAGGTTGGTAAACCAGGGTTATGTCAAAGAACGTAATACATAATGTCATTATTTTTATGTATTATTGCCAAAAAATCTCTGAAATAAGGAAAAAAACAGTCACAGATGTTTTTGCGCCTATCCCAAGTCTGGACTGTCCTAGTATTGTGTGTTTTTTTTTTAAATTTTGGTTCATTTATATGTTTTGCAGTTTAGTGTGACGTCCATTTTTGCAGAACTAGTACAATTTTTATGTTGAGGGGCCAGCTGATGTCCGCCTCCGGAGGCATACGCAAAATAGGTCGAAAAAAAAATATTCCTTTGAATTTGACAGTTGTAGGTAATTAATCCTACATTTTATTGCAGTAAAAAATTTCTGAGTCATAAACATATATCTTGGGTATTTCAAAGCACCATTATTTTTTATTTGGGGTTTCTATAGAATATTTTGGAAACTTGAGGTTACATGGTTACTAAAGCTTGTACACAGATAAAAAAAGATGTGATAATTTGATTGATTAACTCCCAGTGATTAGTATTTTCATAAATGCAATGAAATGTTATGTGAAATTATGTCTTTAGTACTGGACAGGATAAAACTTTTCTCATGCCAAGTATTTCTTTATTTTAAACAAAGATAAATTCTGCACAATTTTTTGAAAAGTGCAAATTTAAGATAGACTAATAGAGGAAAATCAATGGTGGTAATACACCTTATATGGGAAGCTGCACATGCACCTTTGACCTTGTGAGAACTCTCATTTGTTAAAAATGCTTACTATTTAAGTGAAATATTACAAAAAATGAAATATTCTGAGTGGATTGAGTCTCCAAAAACACATTTTATGAGAAAATTTCCTTGAAATAGGACTTTACCATGATTATTAGTAGACAGAGCAAGCCATACTTAGTGTTTTGAGGAGCCTTTTCTCCTTATTTCTTATATTCTGCAACAATAAAAAAAAATTTCTGAAGTTATACTTTAATAAATATATAGTTATAAGTAAATGAAACTATTTTTAAAGCAGTTACAACAAATTATTCACTAAAAGAGAAGCTTTTTATGCCCCTCTCTGGAACGCGGCGTAAATTTAAGTTTTACGTAAGGACTTATTGAAACCTCCTTGGAGACAACAAACATTTATATGGATGGTTCATTCAGCTTGAATACTTCAATTACTCATTTGTTATAACATTTCTGTCATAAATGAGTGGAAGTTTCCCCCAAATTTTTATTAATTGGCCTGAAAAGTTGAAATTTTTAGGGAAATGAGAGGTATAAATGAACCAAAAGAGACCTTATAAGGAAGACAAAGAGGTCCATTCGTGGTATTTATCATCCTAAAGTCATCTTTTGTATCATATTCAACTGTTTGTAGGCAGATGAGATAAATATTTGATCATTTATTGGTCCATACTGTATTCTATCATGATGCGGCTTGATTTGGATTTTTCAAAGAAATTTTGCTCGAATCGTTGTAGATCTCGTCTTACATTATACTAGATTTTTCTGAAACTATTGAAATGATTATGACAAAACTTGGCAGGAATACTTGAAATAGCCAGTATTACCAATAGAAAAGTCACATTCAGTTTATTCAACAAAAAAGTCTTCTTTAGGTGTAATACCACCAAATCATAGTACGTCACATCCGGTTGCATACGAAAATAGGTAAAAAAAAAATAATATTCCTTTGAATTCGACAGTTGTAGGTAATTAATCCGACATTTCATTGCAGTACAAAAATTCTGGGGCATAAACATATATCTTGGGGATTTCAAAGCACCATTATTTTTTTATTTGGGGTTTCTATAGAATATTTTGGAAACTTGAGATTACATGATTACTCAAGCTTGTACACAGATAAAAAAGATGTGAGAATTTGATTGGTTAACTTCCAGTGATGGGTATTTTCTTACATGCAATAAAATGTTATGTGAAATTTTGTCTATAGTACTGGACAGGATAAAACTTTACTCATGCCAAGTATTTCTTTATTTGAAACAAAGATAAATTCTGCACAATTTTTTGAAAAGTGCAAATTTAACAAAGACTAATAGGGGAAAATCAATGGTGGTATTACACCGTTTCTGCTCTCTGGTCGGGTTGTTGTCTCTTTGACACATTCTCCGTTTCCATTTTCCATTTTATGATGGTCTTGAAGTATAAATTCTAGGTACTGACATTGTGTATCATCTTAATAACGTGTTATAGTGTTCTTTTATTTGTCTTTGTATATCTTTTACTGTTTAGTCCGTTTTTGGTGATATCATTTTGGTGTGGCTTTATATTTATTCATTCCTGCCATTGTGTTATTGTGCTACGGTCATTTTTTTGTATTCTTGTCTATCATTTTTGCTTATGTGCTTTGTCTTTAGAGTGTCTTTATGCCATTTGTTTTCTTTGTTGACATAGTTGTTTGTTTTATAGTGATTAAAAGAATAACACAATGTTGTCTACTGTACCCCAATTTTTGACATTTTCACCTATTATGTCTGTTTGTTTAGTTCACAAATTGTTGTCAATAGAATCGAATTCTATGCAACTGTCATACAAGAAAGAGGTTTAGCTAACTATAAAACTAGGTTTAATCCACCATTTTTTCTCATAAGGAAATTTCTGTACCAAGTCAGTTGTTTTCCTTTCAATTGATGTGTTTGAGCTTTTGATTTTGCCATTTGAGAAGGGACTTTCCGTTTTGAATTTTCCTTCGATTCCGTATTTTTGTTATCTTACTTTTACCTAAAAAAAATCGATAGATATGTTTGAGTGCATTAAGTGAAAGTAGCTACCCTTTGTGATAGCATCACATATTTGGGATTTCTATCCTGAACGGAAGTAGTCCTTATTATTAATTAAAGACCTATTGAAAGAATAAGTTTAAATTTAGTTAACAAAGGAATGGCAAACATTTAACAGATACATAGTTATCTGATAAAAAAACCCACCCTGGTTCTATCAAATCGTTCTCTGAAGCAGCTATATTGGTTGCTTTATACCGTATAGCAGGTTATTTTCGCGGGTGTAAACTTTCGCGAT